ATGTGCAAAAGAGTTTTGACGCCTAAACGCCAGATTCGGCGCTTAAGTGCCGGTTAAATAGAGAAGGTCGCGCCTAAGCGCTAGAGGCTTATTGGGCGAGTAAATTCGATTTCTGTGAATTTTTTGTAGGAGGTTTTGGAGCCCCCTATTGGCTTAATAGGTGGTTATAACCACCATAGACGAAATTATCACGAAAGGATGCATATCTTGTGAAAATACATCAAATCTAGACATATTTTGAAGAGAAACTAAGACATCTTTTGGAAAATTATAAAAGAAAGAAGATTGAGACTTTGAAAGAGATCCTGAAAGTATTGAAAAGTTTTGAAAGTTCTCATTTAGGGAGTTTGTTCGGAGAGATTTTCAGGCACCATTTTTACTTTTATTTTATCCTTTTTGTTATTTTATTTTGAGTTATTGTAAATGAAGAGAATCAAAGAAACTTCAAGAGTTTGGTGGAGGATTTTAGATAAGTTTTTATCTTTCAATTTTGAGACTACTTTTGGTTTTAATTGAGATTTTATGTTAGTTTGACAATGATTTCTTCTTTTAAACTAAAGTGTGGTTTTGTTTTCTCTATGGATTCTGAGTAGTTTTCTTTATCTTTCTTCTTAAAATGATAAGTAATTAAGTTTTGGATGGAAGTTGTGAAAAGTATTGATCTTCAATGATGGAAGAAGTTGTGATGATTTAAATCCATGCACTTCATTTACTTCTTGATTTGACCAATCAAGTTGTTAAAATTTGTTGTGAGAACATGTAAGAACCGGGCTAGTATTGTCTCAGTCAATAATTGGAAAGAATCACATGAGGTTGTATGAATGAGAATGTTATTCATATGATTGAGAACAAATAAATAGAGCAATATTCATTAAAGGGTGTAGAGTTAGAGGACTTTAAAGTGACAGGTTAAAGCCCCCAACTTGGTTTATTGTTTTAGGTTCTGATACGAGAATGTTAGTCCCCAGGTGGAGGGAATCGAGAGAACTCTAGAGTGAGAGCTAATATCTTCCCTGTCTAGCTGGTCTTCAGAACTATTCAAACTTTAAATTAGCCAATGTTCATTATAGCATCTCTAGTAAGGGTAAATAATATTATTGCTCCTATTTGGTGTTAACCTCATTTTGAGGTCTTCCATTCTCTAGATACCCTAAGATATAGCCTTAAGATTTTCTTATTTTGACTATCTTAGAGGACTAGATTGGGACTCACACCCCTTAGAAATTCAAGTCATTTCTTTGCTACTTGTAGTTTCATATGGACGGTTTTAGATCTTCAATATTCGATTGAGCCGATCGAAAAGCCGACACATTGAAGCTCAAATCGAACTCCTATAGAAATTTGAAAGACATAAGGGGACCCTGTGATGTGCGCGACATTTGACTTGCCACTGCAAGCGTCGTATTTGACTTTGGTTATTGCTTATGCGAGGACATGTCAATATTTTCATCTTACTCGTTAAACGGCTTTGATCGGGTCAAAATAATTTCTTTTGACGCGCCACGCGGGAATTGAAGTTAATTTGGCACGATCATCGACGAATTTGTCCGGGTAGCTCCGGATGACGAAACGGACTGCGCCGTCTCATCTGGAACACCAATTTCAGCTAGGGATGACACCCATTTTGTTGGAGCGCCGCGCACGAATGAATTGCGCAAAATTTGATATTTTCTTTCAAAAAAAATAATAATAATAATAATAATATTTTTTAAATAAAAAAAGTTTTTTAAAATCCTAAATCTAAACTCTCCCTCACATACGCTTCCTTCCTCTCCCCAAGCCCCTGTTCTTTGCCCTAGCCAGACCGTGAGGTCTTCTTGCCAGTCTGTCGGTCATCTCTTCCCTTGTCGAACTCTCGCCGCCGGTAGCTCCACCGGTAGCCCGTTTCTAACTAACTTTCCGGCTCAAATACGTGAGCCTTCTCGATGAGCCCCTCTTTCATCTCCGCCTATAAATACCCGTTCGAGGGGAAGAGTTGGGGATTTTTTTTTTAACCAGGAATTTTTGAGAAGTTTCATTTGGTTTCGTTCCTTCGCTCTTCTCTGGAAATTGGTCGTTGTTTTTTTTAGCATTTTGAGGATTCTTTTGCTGGAAGTTGGCTTTGGGTTCTCTGAGATTTGCTCGATGAGAGTCTCGGGTGGACCTTTTCGTTTGGAAGCTTTAGGATACGGAATTGGTGGAGCTTACTGTTGGAAGCTTTTGCCTCAGGGTTTTTCTTATTCTTCTCGTTCTTGAGTTAGCAAGAAGTTGATGTCAGATTTTGTTTGCTTCTAGACTTTAATTATGAAATATTTGTGAAGTAGATAAGAAATTTTAATCTCTCCTTAGAATCACATCTGATTTACTTAGGGTGATTATCTTCGTTAAGACCATGTGATTAATTTCAAATTAGCTTGAAATTTTGTTTTAATTGTTGAATTAGTTATCCATACTATATTTTCTTCTGAATTATGAAGTGAATAGATCAAATGGAGCAGAAATATAAGTTTGATTATCTCTCTGATGAAGAAATAAAGCTTTCTTATGAACATCTGTTTGGATTTTTTTGCTTGCAGTCCTCCTTGCTACTTGAGTTTTTTTGAAGCTCATGAGTTGTTTAGCATCTGAGTTGTGGTTTCTTTTTGCTGGAAAGATATATTGAGATCATCAGGAAATATTTGAGTTCTCTTAATTATTGTTTTCTCACTACTTTGCTTTAATATGGGGATTCTTTGATTTATTTGATTCACTGGAGGTTTTATGTTGAGCTCCTTGGTTGGGCATTCAATCTTGTTTAATCCTACGGTTTTGTTTCAAACTTCTCGATCGATTTTCCATTTTGAAATGAAGATTTGTGGATTGGATTTAGCCCTCATGTGAAGACCCAATTATGTCTCATGTAGCTCTCTTTATTTGAACTTCAATATTAGAATTATTTTAATAATATGGATAGTCATTTGGTGGCTAGGTTTTGCTTATATTGCACTTGGAATTCTTGATAGTTTTGTCTTGTGAGGTTTAGCTCTATCGTATTCCCATTCTTAATTCTCGGAGCTCCTCACAGCCAGACTAGGAGGCTCTTGTCAGGCAAGTGGCTACAATGAACGAAGAGATATGTCAGTTGCGCAAGCAGATGCTAGAAGACCAACATAGAGTCGAGAACTCTATAGCGCACATGATGGAGACATTAGCATAAATGTTAGGCAAGCAAGAAGGAGAAGGATGAGGAGGAGGATGGAGTATATTAGTTGTTTTTTTTTGTTTTTTTTTTTTTTTGTAAATATTATGCTAAACATTTGTTATATAATTTTTTGGATTAACTTTTATATTCTTATTTGGGACTATTTTTTATAGTATCTTACTTTTAATAATGATATTTTTTAGAGATTTTATCTATGATATGATCATTGTTTAACGGGATATACGATGTGGAATTTATTTCTGTGCAAGTTATGGAAATGTAATCGATATTTTTTTTTTATGTGTTATAAGTTTGTGCCGGATTTGCGTCTGTTTTCGGACGCAAATTCTGACGCCAAATCAACAATAATATTTTGACATTATATGATATTTTCCAATGTAAATTAGATGGAAAGCCGACACAAATATTTCTCGCCCAACATTTTCAAACGTAAATTTCAACGCACGCTTCGTATTAACAAATTGGACGCTAATATGGCGCTATAACCGATGAAAATTATTTGCATTGGAAAATTTCGACGCAAATTGTACATAAATAAAATTACCGACCTTTAAATTAACGGCGAAACAAATCAAACGTAAATCAGACGCAGATCTGACAATAACATTTAAATATCGTCGAATTTGCGTTCAAATTGCTTCTGTTTGACATTATATGATATTTTCCAATGTAAATTAGACGGAAACCCGACACAAATATTTCTCGCCCAATATTTTCAAACGTAAATTTCGACGCACGCTTCGTATTAACAAATTGGACACTAATATGATGCTATAACCGATGAAAATTATTTGCTTTGGAATATTTCGACGCAAATTGTCCATAAATAAAATTACCAACCTCTAAATTAACGGTGAAAAAAATCAAACGTAAATCAGACACAAATCTGACGATAACACTTAAATATCACCGGATTTGCGTTCAAATTGCTTCTATTCTAACCGACCCAAATATGCTTAATTTTTTTAGTGTGATGAATCTCATTAATGTGAATAACCCTTTTTATAGTATTGCTTCAAAACATGCTAGCTGACATAGGTATAACCAATCATTCTCTCTCTCGATACATATATATAAATATA